CTGCTTTAATTAATTCATTAATCGCCAGCGGCGCCGCTCCCTGCAGCACGTGTTAGGAGGAGCGCACTACAGAGAACCCTCTGTCGAACACCGCAGGGGCAGCTATCGGTAGAGCGATGGGACAGTGATGGAGAGTTCATGTCCCTGGTGAGGGATCCCTCGGGAAAGGGGTGTCTCCCCCGGAGAGGGGCTCCCCGGCTTCTCCTGCGGAGCACTGTGTGTCCGTGGGAGCTCCTGGCAGGAGCCTGCTTAGGAAGGATGGTCCCCACCTCAGTCGGGCTGCTGACGGCCAGGGGACATGCTGCAGCAGCACCGCTACCATTTATTACATGATTTAAATTCAAATACAAAATTAGGATGAAGGGGAGAAGAAGAGCAGCGTCTGACCAGGGAGGGCAGCAGGACAGGACTGCTGGGGTGCAGGACCCCCCCCAGCCCCGCTAGCTGGAGCTGGCCTCTTCTGCCTTCAGCACCTCCATGGGGGAAGGCTGGGAGCTCTCATGGGCTGGGGGCACCTCCTCCTGGGTCTTCACAGCTTGGGGCTTGGTCAGCGTGGTGTAGATGCCCAGGGCCTGGAGGGAACAAGAGAGAAGAGGGGGAGGAGAAGGCCAGGCCCCACCAGGCAGCCACCATCACCTTCTCCGGGCAAGAGACAGGGCATCTCTGGCCATACTGACCTGTGCCACCATGTTGGTGACATCACCGGTGTTGGCAGGCAGCAGGACAGTGTTAGAATCTTTGGCAAGCTTGGAGAAGGCGTTCACATACTGCTCTGCCACAGAGAGAGAGGCGGCGGCACTGCCGTGCTGGGGAGAGAAGAACGAGGCTCAGCAACGACCCACATACCACCAAGAGCTCATCCCTGCCCCTTCCCCAGCCCACCCCAGCTGGCAGCAGCCCCTGAGACGGCAAAACTCCTTGGTTGCTGCTGCTGAAGACACCAAGGATTGTCCAAGAGAAGACCAGGTGCCACTCCGGCCACGGTTTCACCTCCCTCAGTGCCATCGCCGAAGCAGTGGCTTCCCCAAGGAGCTGTGGCTCACCTGCTGTGCCAGAGCAGCTGCCAACAGCTGAATTGCCTCCGCCTTGGCCCTGGCCTTGACCAGCACGGCGTTGGCTTCTCCTGCAACAAACCACAGCAGGACGTGCATCATAAACACGACAAAGTGCTTGCAAGGAGCAAATCAGGACAATTTCAAGGTGCAAATCAAGACAGTTTCATGCACGCACAGCCTCCTCTTCCCCAACAGCAGCACGGCGGTACTCCTGCCGCACACCTCCTGCCGCCCCAGGCTGTGGGGCAGCAACACAAGCTGGAGCTCAGCCCGAGGGACCCAGCAGGGAAGGATCAGCATGGCTGAGGAAGCGTGGCGCACAGACAGTGGTGTGGTCTCTCCCCAGGAGCATCACCCCCACGGTGCAGAGGGCTACAGATCCCCCAGGCCCCAGATGTTCTAGCCCAAGGCACTACCAGCAGCTTTGTTGATTTGTTCCGCCTTCTCGGCTTCTGACGCCAGGATCTGGGCCTGCTTCTGCCCCTCAGCCACATTGATAGCCGATTCCCGAGTCCCCTCTGACTCCAGCACCATCGCCCTCTTCCGTCGCTCTGCCTCCACCTGCAAACACAGCTCAGATTCTGGCCTGCCATAGCCACACTGGGGAAATCCCATCCGTGGGGCAAACGCAGTGAGGACACGCCGCTACATACTGCTTGGGCCAGCAGAGCTTAGCAGAGGATGAGAACACAGCTACAGAACACTGAGCAATCCCTGGTGAGGGCTGGTTTTGCTCCTCACCCTACACAGCCTCCACACCTAACCGGACAGCCGTTTCCCACTCCTCCCCTTCCAGCCTGGAGATCTGGAGCCCGGCTTTTCTCAAGGGGAGCCATTCGGCTCTGGGATTTGCTTTCTACAGAGCCTCAAAAAGAGCTGGCAGGGCTTGCATGTACCAGGCAGGGGCCACCATTGCCGAAATAAGAACCCGAATTATTTATTCAACAGCTGTACATTCGCAGCCGAAGTGCCAACAGATTTCCCTCACCACAGGAGGACCCAGTGCTGCCAGCTGCAGACAGAGAACTGTGCCGTGTGGAAGGGGAGACCTCCCTCTTGTTCCAGATCACCCACCCAGAGAACCGAACCTGCATCTGCATGGATTCCTTCACACGTGGGGGCACGTGGATGTCCTTGATCTCATAGCGCAGGCACCGGATGCCCCAGTAGTCCGAGGCCTGGTTGATGGCATCCACAATGTTGGCGTTGAGGGACTCCCGCTCCTGGGAGGCACAAAAGAAACGGCAAAGTGCAAAGAAGAGGCACTTAGCACGAGACAGAGATCAGGAGGAAAACAGGCACCCCCCACTCACGGGCCAAGGTCAGAAAAAAAATTTACAAAAACCAAAACAAGACCATCTCCAAGGATTCACTAATAGTTCAACTCAAACACAAGCCAGAAGCCCTCTAAGCAGAGGACATTTTGCTTTTAAACTTATCAGTCTGGCTATGCAGACTGCTCCTGAGTTTCGAGATGCTGGCAGCTCTGTGGTCCACCTCCCCAGCTCACCCGGAAAACTCTGTCGAGGGAGAGTTTGCCAAGTTCAGATCTCATGGTGGTCTGGGCCAGCTGGGTCACTGCATACTCAGGATCTTCCACCCCATAGCTGGCCTAGAGAGCAAAAGCAAAAAACCAAGAGTCAACGGCAGTGCCAAGAAGAACACCAAACAAGGGATGGTGGGTAAACATAGAGGGGAGAAACCCACCACAGACACCCTCAACAAAGAAAAGCAGAGTCCAGAGCCTTGGGAGGGATCAGGGTGTGCAGCCCACCTGCCTCGCAGGGCGCAGCAAGCTGGGCAGAGGCTAAAGCGCGCGTCGAGGGGAGAAGGGAGCCAGCAGAGGCAGGCGAGCGGTGCCCGAGAGGCTGCCAAGGTGGCCAGCTGAGTGGCACGGCACATGCAGGCTGTGCTGGATGCAGCCAAGGAGGCTGCCAGTTTGGCTCAGGGCCAGCGTCAGTGCATCAGGGACGGTACCTTGTAGGGGTCCATAACCCGCAGATAGAGCACACCATCAATCTGCAAGGTGACGTTATCTGCCGGGAGAGAACAACACGTCCTGTCTGCTGGAGCAGCAAAGACAAAATATGGCAACTCCCCCTCCCCCGACAGAACTAGTGCATCTGGGCAGGGGCATCCCTTTCCCTCCTGGTGTCAACAGCGTGGCACAGAAGAGGGACTGGCTGAAATGGATCTCCTTATCTAAAAGCCTTTGTGAAAAGGACCTTGACGTTCCCTAGAAAACACTACATTTTGATGTTTTAATACACAAGAAGTCTCAGGTCTCCAGATCAAAACATTAAATTCTGGAGTTATCTTCACAAACAAAGATTTAAAAGGGAAAAAACCCAAGACAAAACAAAATGCTTAATACTAGAATCAAAACAGAGCTGTCCATTATCCCTGATCTGAAATACTTTTTACAGAAACACAGAGATTTTTTGTGGTTCAACCCAGGAAAACATCTGAAAAATGGACTCCTGCCCAGGTGCAACCCAGCGAGAAGGGGCAGCGACAGTGCCAAGAGAGCTGACGGGACCTCTTTGCAGTTCTCCTGCTTGGAGAGCCAGGCGTATGGCCAAGCCCAGATCCCCTGGGACAGGGCTGAGTGCAGGAGCCTGGGACATTTCCACTCCTCCTGCACTGTCCCACACTCACCCCAGACGCAGCAGAAGGGGCAGGACGCAGAAGCTGTTCCTTACCTAGGGTGACAGCTGACTGCTCTGGGACATTAATGACGATTTCTTTGAGACTCTGCACATAACGAATCCGATCCAGTAGAGGGATGAGGAAGTTCAAGCCCTGGAAAAAGGGTGGGATTAGATGGTTAAGCCCGCTGATCTGGGGTTTTCTCCTGCAAAGAGCTCAGCCACACTAGAGAGGGCTGTGCAAACAGACACTGCAGGTAAAAGGAACATGCTTTACGTGTGGTGAGAAATTTAGGTTTTTCAGTGCTTTGAACATTCCACCAAGGGAATTTAAGTCTACAGGCAGTCAAAAATCTGGAATAATAAGCACACCATCCGCCAAATCCATGCGGAAAAGGCACGCCTTGCTACAGCTTTAGGAACCTGCTGAATCCAGAAGGGAAGAAAAGCATCTCCTTACAGGCTCCAGGATTCGGTGGAACTTGCCCATCCTCTCCACCACCCAAGCCTCCTGCTGCGGCACAAAGAGCACCCCAATATTCACAGGCAGGCCAGAGCTCAAGCGGCATGGTGCTGGGGCCAGCCACGCCGAACGCTTCAGCTGCTGGGAGTGCTAGAGAAAGGAAAAGGAACAGCATGGAGACCGGCTGCCAGCACCTTGGAGACCAGCACCACCCCTGCTCTCCCACCTGGGACTGCTGCTCATGACCCCAATACACCAGGGCAGGAAACAGCACTGACACCGTGAACAAGCCCACGCTGTGAGGGACACGGGCTGTCCCCACAGGGGTGAGACCTGAGCCCCAGGGGCAGCATGAGTGTCAGGGCTTTCCCCACAGGCCTATGAGGGCTCACCCCCATGCTGGAGCTTTCTCCGTATCTCCCCTTCTCTTACATCCCCATTGCGGGGGAAGGAATAAAGCCTCCCTGACACTGTAAATGAAAGAAAGGTGTGTGGGGGATGGTCTCTTCTACCCCACTCAGCCCCTTGTAACCTGGTCACACTCCTTCCTCCCACCCCTCTCTCTCACCTCAGTCCGAGGCCGCCCCCCTTCGA